AGCAGATTCTCGATAATCACGTGGAAATAAATCCGCCCATATGGGAATTCGTAAACAAATTTAAAATACAAATAATGACTGAACTAGAAAATTATTTTTATCCGATTATTTTTCAAGCATATACTTGATGGCTCTTGCGATCTGATTATAATCGCTATCAACATTTATCTTCAATCCTTTACATAAATTTATTCTCGCTTCAGACTCTTGTGTTATATCAGTCATATCAATATATAATTTAGCTCCAATATTTAATAAAGAAATCGTATTATCTGTATGATATTGTATTCCTAACAAATCACATGTTTTTAATTATTTGTTTATTTTCAATATCGGATTTTTCATGCGTCCTTTTTTCAAGGTTTTCAACCCTTTCGTTAATCAAATCCAATTTCTTTTGAAGATCAGATATTTCCATCTTTTTCTCAAGTTTTTCTATCCTTTCGTTAATGTCATCCAACGATTTTTGTAGATTCATCGTGGTGTGGGTAATCATCCACAGCCTATTCCCTTCAAACAAATAAAATGAATCTTTACCATTGGTGGTTATGCAATTTATACTTTTCCAATCACTCTCATTCTTAATTCATGTTCAGCATCTAATTGCTTCATTCTTAATTCATGTTCAAACTCTATTTTTTTGATTTCTAATTCTCCTTCACTTCGTCGATCAACATCACGAATATTTGCTTCAATGAGCTTTCTCCGAATAACAAATTGGATTGGTAATCATTTTCCGGATAGAAGATCGGAGTAATTCTGGTTTCCCTATCTCGAGAATTTGAAATTATTGCTGACATACAATTGAATAAATGAAATCAGAATGAAAAATAAAAAAAAAATAAAAATTTTAAACCAGACGATTGACTATTTTTAAATTCATTTGAATCTATATAATATAAATGATTAATTCAATTTCATTCACATTTTGTGAGAATTACTGAGTGTCGTAAATACATTAAATGAAAATAAAAATAATAAAAGAAATCTTATCTTGTTTATAATCAAAAAAAAATAATTACAATTCACACCATGTTTAATTCAAGCATTCTCTTAATTTTTATCTTAATTTTGATATGTTACCATTAGGGGTCTGCAAGTGGGCATGCCGGGCACATTGGCACCAGGCCATACACTAGTGCCTCATGCCGTGCCCATGCCTTAGGCACAAAAATGCCA